TGTCATAGCTGCACATCCTTCTAGTTGCTGTATGTGGGACGCGGCCTCAGCATGGCCGGAGAAGCGGTGCGTCGGTGTGTGCCGGGGATCCAAACCCGGGCTGCCCGCAGCGGATCGCACACACTTAACCACTAAGCCACGGGGCCGGCCCCTGATGGTGTATTGAAAGTGCTTTGCTAATCGTTTCCACCCTTTCTGCTTTTTTTTTTTTTTTCCATTTAAGATTATGATAATATCTTGCAGCAGACTTTTTAAAGAATAAGGGCCTTCTGGATGGTGACTCTTTGTTTCTTTCTACAGTTCCTTATCAGCAGAATCCTTACAATCCCCGGGGCGGCTCCAGTGTCATCCAGTGCTACCGATGTGGAGACACCTGCAAAGGGGAAGTGGTTCGTGTCCACAATAACCACTTCCACATCAGATGCTTCACCTGTCAAGGTAGGAGGCCCAATTTCCCAACTCCCTTCTCAGATTCCTGGCCATGCTCTCACCCCCAGGACCTTCCCCAGAGGCAGGCAAAACAAACACAGGCAGTTGAAATACCTATCAAGGCCTAATGAGTCTTTCCTCGAGCCTGTTATGAGAAGTCTTCCTTAAGCAGTGTGGAGAGAAGAGGGAGGTAAGAGTGAGGGAAGTGTTGAGATACGGGGAAGAGAGGGATCCTGGTGACCCCTGAGTGGTAGCGCTGACCCAGAAGGAAAAAGGCAATCCTGCAAGCTTAACTTACACGTCTGAAAAGACTCCTCGCTTGTGCCTATAAGTCAATTTGAGAGCTAATGAAAGATTAAGCTGTCTTGGCTAAAATTCAGCATGGCTCTGAGATGAGCACCTATTCTGTGACAATGTGACAGTCCTCGAAGTTTAAGTTTAACGAGGGAGATGGTACGTCTTGACTTCAGTAAGTTTGTAATTTGGGAGCAGATGGATTTTGCGTTACCTCTAATTGTTACGGCTTACCCGTGGCTAATTCATAGCATCCTAGACTCAGCCAAGCTAAGAGTTCCTCAAGAAGAAAGATAACTAGCAGCAGGAAGGCAGAGGGACTCAGCTGAAAGAGCCAAAGAGCCCTCTGACCCAAACAAGGCAACGCTCCCTTCCCCTCTGTCCCTGACAAGTGCCTCTCCAGCCTTGACTTCTCGAACTCTTCTCCCAGGCTTCCTGTTCCATAGAGCAGCCATTCTGATGTTGGATTACCTGTGGGTTTAGAAAATGTTTGACCCAAATCCTGTAACTTCCACCTGTTGGTTCTAGATTTGTCCTGATGAAGGTTGATGAGCACTTTGTGTTTGCTTTTTCCTATGGCTACCCTTCACATACTTGTAGCCACGTCTTCCCCACGCCCAATTATGTTGCAGATCCTTAAATTGGGCCTCATCTGAAATGATTCCAACTTGTATCATCATCCTGGAGTCTTCCTCCTTGATCCATTCTGGTTTGTCACTATCATTCTTGAAGCATAATGCCCAGAAGAGACCACAGTTCTCAAGCCTGCCAAATACAGCAAGGACTACTTTTCTGTTCATGTGACTGATATGGAATTGACTTCCTGAGGAGCCACTTCACACTATTGATGTATGCTGAGTTTAAGGTCAATTGAAACCCCTAGATCTTTTCATTTCAGTAACTGGTTCCAACCTCAGTCTCTGAGATTGACTTGCACTGCCATTGAGAAAAATCCTGGATTTCTTTCCTCAGGATTTAACTGGACTCTGCACTGAGCAAATAAATTACATATTCATATTCCCTGATTTATTTATGGAAGCATATATGGGATGTCTTTAAATGGATGTGATTTAAATTTTATATTGAAATTGGCAAACCCCTTTAGTGCCTGTTGACCTGCAAGAGTATCTTGGTAGAGACCATTTTTACATCCCCAGAAATTGAGGCAGGATGAAAGATAAAGACAATAAATCATTATAAGGAGTTTTGAGCTATGACTCTGCAATTATATTATAAGAGAGTATATTTGTTACCTTTCGCTTAAGCCAAAATTTAATAGCTTAAAACAACCGTTTAGTTAGCTCATGATTCCCTGGGTTGGGTGGGCAGTTCTTCCAGTCTGACCTGGCTCTGCTTATCTCTACTGGCCTCATCACAATGATATGGTGGCTCAGCTGGCAGTGGTTGGCAGGCTGTTGACCTGAGTGCCTCCATATGGCTTCTCATCCTCCAGCAGGCTGGCTTGGGTTCATTTGCACGGTGGTCACAGAGTTCCAAGTGCAACAAGAGAGCAAGCTTCAATAAGCAAGATTTTTTCAAGCCTTAACTTGTGTCATACTTGTTAATATTCTATTGGCCAAAACAAGTCAAATGGCCAACCCAGATTCAAGATCATAGAGAAATAAATTTTGCCTTTTGTGGAAAGATCTGCAGAATCAAATTTCAAGGGTGTGAATACAGAGAAGGTAAGAATTTGGCCATTGTGACAATCTACCACTGGGAAGTTGTAGAATCTCTTTCAACGGAGATTTTAAGAAAAAAAAGTAGACTGTTATTTTTCTGGCCATTTTCAATGTTAGTTTTCTTAAGGGTAAAACAAATGAGAAGATTTTTGTTTCCAATAGTAACCAGTATAGGGGTTAGTTACCCTAAATAGCCTTCTCATTTGAAAATCTAAAATCTCTATGAATTTCTTTTAACAACTCTTTTCACATGCACTACTCTGCTGACGTGAAAGGAAGGAATCTGCAGAGGTGAAAAACAAAAATAAAAGCAGAAATCCTGGTGTGACTGCCAATGCCTGATTTAATCCTGATGGTTTATGGTAAACCTTGAAGACCTTGAGTTTTTACCTTCATATCTGTATGGATTGTGGAGAACAGGAGGCAAAGCCTAGAGTATGGTCAAAGTATGAATCTAATAGAAGACCTCTGAATAAAGCTGAGATTTTTCCGGCAAAAACCTTACTCTTGGGGCTGGCCTGGTGATGTAGTGGTTAAGTGCATGTGCTCTGCTTCAGTGGCCTGGGGCTCACAGGTTTGGATCCCGGGCGTGGACCTACACACCACTCATCAAGCCATGCTGTGGTGGCATCCCACATAGAAAATGGAGGAAGATTGGCACAGTTGTTAGCTCAGAGCCAATCTTCCTCACCAAAAAAAATGAAAAAAACAATCTTACTCTCAATGGATAGATGCATAGATGGCTCTGGAGAAGGAGACAGCACTGAAACTTGCCTGTACCAACTTTGGCACTGGGTAGGAAAGAATAAAACTTGTATCAAAGTGTCTATCCATAATCCACCCTTTACGTGGATTCATGTTCTATATTCATGCTATATATTTGGTGTAAATTAAAAAAAAGTGAAACAGAGAATTTAAAAGAAAGTAGTTCTGTACCTGGCAAATGGCAGAAGTGAAAGATAATCCTCTTTGGAGGAACTCAGCTTTACTCCAGACCTCAAAGAATTCCCACAGATAACGTTATTAGCAAAAGGAGTAACTCACAGTCAAAAACACACAAATCATGGGGCCGGCCCAGTGGCATAGTGGTTAAGTTAGCTCACTCTGCTTCATTGGCCTGGGTTCACAGGTTCGGATCCCAGGCGCAGACCTACGCTGTTCATCAAGCCATGCTGTGGCGGCGTCCCACATACAAAATGGAGGAAGAGGGACACAGATGTTATTCAGGGTCACTTTTCCTCAAGCAAAAAGAGGAAGATTGGCAACAGGTGTTAGCTCAGGGCCAATCTTCCTCACAAAAAAAACAAAAACAAAAAAAACACAAATCATAATGGAGGGAGAGCCAACAGAAACAATGGAGAACAGAATCAGAACCTCAAAGACTTCATGTATTGAAATTTTCTGACATTATATAATAATACATTCAATACATTTAAACAAGTAAGAGAAGCCAGAAAAAAATTGAACAAGAAACAACACCTTATAAGGAATAGCAGAGCAGATTTGAAAAAGAAACAAATAAAACTTCTAGAGATAAAAATATATAATCTTTGAAATGAAAAACTCTGTGTATAGATTAAATAGCAGATTAGACATTGCTGAAGATAGAATTAATAAACTGTAAGCTTTAGCCAAGAAATGGATATGTACATGTAGCCCAGAAATATAAGACGGTGGTAAAAGTAAAAAAGAAGTTGATACATGGAGAATATAGTGAGAAGGCTTGGCATACATCAAATCTAAGGTTTGTCATAGTTCTTGCAGAGATATATAATAGAGAACATGAGTGGGAGGACAATATTTGAAGAGATAACAGCTATGAATTTTCTAGAATTGTTGAAAGACACAAATCCTTGTATCCAAGAAAACTAATAAATCCCAGCAGAAAAATGTAAAAGAAATCCACCTACACATATCAGAGTGAAATTGCAGACCACCAAAGACAAAAAGACTATCTTAAAAGTAGCCAGAGAGAAGACAAATCATCTACATGTGAATGGTAAATAGACTGGCAACTGATGTTTTAATAGCAACAAAGAAACCTGAAAACAGTGGAATAATGCCTTTAATGTACTGAAAGACATACCTGTAAATTTAGGATTATGTATTCTGCAAACTACCTTTTAAGAACAAAGGCAACCCCATGGCTAACATCGTACTTAATGGTGAAAGACTGCCTGCTTCCCTGTAAGATCAAGAATAAGGAAACGGTGTCTGCTTTCAACACTTCTATTCAACTTCGTGTTGCAGGTTCATGCTGGGTTAATTAGACAAGAAAATGAAATAAAAGATATGCAGATTGAAAAAGAAGAAGTAAGACTATTTCTATTTGCACATGATGTGATCTTGTATATAGTAAATCCTAAGGAATGCACTAAAAAACTATTCGAATTAACAAATAAGTTTATCAGTGTTTTAGAGTACAAGATCTATATGACAAAATCAATTGTGTTTCTATACACTTGCAATGAACAATCAGAAAATTGAGAAAACAATTCCATTTACAATAGCATCAAAAATAAAATACATAGGAATAAATTTAACAAAAGTGTAAAATTTATACTCTGAAAACTACAAAATATTAAAGAAGATCTAAATAAATGGAATGACATCCCATGTTCATGGATATGAAGTCTTAATATTGTTAAGATGGCAATATTCTTCAGATTGATCTACAAATTTCATGCTTTCTTAGTCATCTCAGGCTGCCATAGCAAAATACCATAGATTGAGTGGCTTAAACAACAGAAATTTATTTTCTCATAGTTCCAGAGGCTAGAAGTCCAAGATCAAGGTCATGTTTCACAAGAACAAGGCCAGCATGGTCGTATTCTTGTGAAAGCTCCCTTTCTGGCTTGCAGACAGCCACCTTCTCACTGTGTCCTCACATGTTAGAGAGAGAAATGGCAAGCTCGATGGTGTCTCGTCTAGTAAGAGCACTAAGCCCATAATGAGGGCCCCACCCTCATGACTTCATCTAAACCTAATTATCTCCTAAAGGCCTCATATCCAAATACCACCACTTTAGGGGAT